CTTTGCAATTATAAAAATGTCCCCATACATACACAGATGTGTGTATGAAATACATTTATATATTTGTAAATGTATATGTCTAATGATAACTACATATATACATGCATGTGTTCGTATGATCTATATTCAGCTTACACACACACATAAAAGCATAGTATATGTTACGCTGTATCTACTGTACAGTTTATAATTGTGACTACCCAACCACAACTCCAGCTTTCATAGAATTTACTACCTGATTCCTAAGAAATATATTTTGTGTATATGTACGCATACATAGATATAAAATGAGTATTAGATATATATATACAAGATACACTGTAATACACACATATACCCACATAAGTATAATATATACGATGTGTGTGCGCAGCTGCCATGCTGGGCAGCCCCAAGGGGGGCATGATGGGTTTGTGGGTGTCCTGCACCCCCAGGGCTCTGCCAGCACCCTCACCTCATTTTCATTTGTTTTTTAAGCCCACCTCCCCTGTCCCAGCACCACACAGCCACAGCTCTTGACATAATAATTTATTGGTTTGAATGACATTTAGTACCACAGTTGTCTTACCAGTGACAGAACGAATGCATACAGCCGATGAGATGCTCTCATTTACACACACCAACGTAAGAAACGCGTCGGACAGGTCCGTGTCTGGGGCTGGTACTTCAGTGGACGACGGAAATTTCAGTTTTGGGTAAAAATCCAGCACATGGTGTACAGGTCCCAGCCTGCCCGCCCCGACCGCAGGAATTACAGTGCTCAACACGGCGCTGAAACGTCACTTCAAGCAGCTTTTTCTTTTTTTTTCTTTTTTTTTTTTTTGGCAAAAAAAAAAAAATCAACAAAAAAATTTGAGAGAATTTTTGGAGAAAAAAAAAAAAAAAGTGCAACCACCAGTCTGGAGAAGCAACGTGCCGTCAGCTGGAGGGATGCGCCTGCCAGGGCTGCGACAGGCTCTTACAATGCCCGTCAGCAAAACCGCACCTAAAGCTCAACCCCCCTCCACCCACACTGGGCTCCCAAAATGGGGTGAACCCCCCTGAACCATAAATCAGGAATGACCTGGGGAGCAGAGCACGGGCCCCAACCCC